CCTTCCTTCCTATTTTTGTTTTTTTGTTTATTCTTACCAGAGAATATTTTTTCCATTGATTTCTTGAGAGAGTTGAAGGGAGGGAGGGAAGGGGAGGGAGAGAGAAAAAAAAGCATCCATGTGAGACACATTGATTGGTTGCTGCCTTTGGGGCCATGGGGCTGGGGATCAAACCTGCAACCCAGGTATGTGCCCTTGAGTGGGACTTGAACCCACAACCCTTTGGTCCACAGGTGGACGCTCTAACCACCGAGACACACCAGTCAGGGCTGATCCCCTTTTCTGATCACGACAGAAAAGAACAAATTCATCCAACCAATGGCCACACCCCTCCACCCTGGTGAGCCAATGAAAAATGGGGCCGAGTTTCCTAAAGACAGTTCCGACAAGATAGAGTTGGAGCTCAGGTTCGACACAGGAGGGGCGCCTAGTAAACATCTTAAGCTATGGGTTGGGACCCCAGGAGGGCTAAAATCAAGAAGTGGAGAGACCAGAGGTAGACAGAGTCTTTTTTTTTTTTTTTAAATGAAGAAGTGGAATGTTTTATTATTAAACTTTCTTGTTTTCCTGCAAGGCTGCTGCTTCAGTGTATAAAAATAGCACCAGCAAACTCATTATATTCCTAAATTAAGACAGCATTGTTCCTCATTTGACAGCGTAACAACAAAAACTTTTCTCTACTGCCCGTTATTTCCAAAGGAAAGATCATTAAGTATTTTGACCCAAACCCAGAGACTGATATAAGTTACAATATTATATAGGGCTTAAGATAACAATGTTATCCTTGAAGTACATAATTTTTGTAACTAGGTTTTACCACAGATAATTTCAGGAATTCTGAATATTATAACTGTAGTCTAGCCTAAAAATCATAGGGTGTTGTGAAAAAGATGCATATTGTGTTTATTTGCCATCATTAGAAAGTTAAGGGGTATTTTTGTCCAGTAGCATTACTGTAATTTTTTCCCCCATTGGTATTACTAAATCTTTTATCCACCACTAATTTAAGACAACTATTTAGATCAAGTTGTTTCATACTACTTTATTTAGGGGGGTTCCATTTTCACTCCTCAATAGATTTAATGTGTTTCTCATATGCTTCTTCACTCATTAGTTCATCTAGTTCTGAAGGGTTACTCAGTGTCATCTTGATCAGCCAACCATCTTCATAACAAGGTTTGTTGACAAGTCCTGGATTTTCTGCAAGAGCTTCATTAATTTCAGTTACTTCTCCTGACAGAGGAGAGTAGAGTTCACTAGCAGCTTTCACACTTTCCAAAGCACCAAACTCATCTTGCTTGTTCAACTTTGTCCCAATTTCAGGCAGACTACAGTAAACAACATCTCCCAAAGCTTCCTGTGCAAAATTGCTGATTCCCACTGTTCCAATCCCATTTTCTGTTGTTATCCATTCATGTTTCTCTGTGAATTTACACACCGACAGCAGGCTGGCGCCGGTGCGCAGTGTCCGGAACGTGCGAGTCCTCAGGCCCCAGGGCCGCGGCTGGCAGGGCCCAGCAGACGGGCGCGCAGGCCGAGGACCGCAGCACGCACGCTCCGCGCCGCTTGGAGCACCATGTTCGCTGGAGGGCTCGCGGCACCGCTCCAAGGCACTCGGGCAGGCCCAGGTGTGTTTCTATGTATTAGGTAGAGCTGCTATGTCTCCTGGAGTTTGTAGAGTGGCTTTGTGTA